GCATTAGAGAGTCTGATGCGCAGGACAGAGAAACTGACTGTGGCTGAGCTATGGTTTGAGTGCCTTGCCTCCAGGGTTCATATATTGAGAACCTGGTCCATGACTTGGTGGTATGCGAGGCAGCGCTACAACATTGAGGGTGCTGCCTTAGGGTTTAAGATAGTTCTCATGGGACCCCAATCACTGTCTGCTGCCTTCTTATGATGTGATCTCTTCTCCGACGTGTGGTGCTCCTGCCACGATGCCACCTGCCATCAGTCTCTCACCAAAGGCCAATATATGAGGTTGCCTGTTCTTGGGCTTTTTAGCCTCTAAATCTGCAAGTTTATAGAGTAGCCTGACTTGAATAGTCAATAGAGCAAGGATCACTGGACTAATACAACAAGAAAGCTGAAGTTTGAATGTATTCAAATTCCAATTCAAAACCCCGTCTTTTTCTTACTCAGCCTAAAGTTTGCCAGAAGTTACAGCTAATGGACCCACAAGGTTAACGCTGACTTTCTCAGGCATATCATTTCCCTTCCAGGTGTGTTGGTGCTTTCTCTGGTATGAGATGCTAAGTGGGCATCTTATCGGCCTTTTTCACAGCTGGAAGGGGAGGCTCTGTACAGATGCATGATATTTAAATAGGCACAACTGCAGCTTTGGATGCAGCTCAGTGACAGAGAGTTTGCCTCACATGCACAAGGCCCTGGGTTTAATCCCAGTGCTACAAGAAAGGGAAAAAGAAAAACATGGGAAATGCCCTCATTCCTGCTGTCTCTCTGGGGTTTAGTGAAGAAAAGAATAAACACAGCAGGCCTGAGACTCTCCTGAGAAATACCATCTGGCATAATTGGCCTTTGGCTGGGGTCTGCGAATGTGCCTTTGGGGAGAGCTTCTGTCACTCCCAGAAACACCAGAGTAAGTTCTCCATGCTGAAATTATTTACACACAGTTCATTTCACACACAAGAACCACTTTCCCTGTGGGTATCTGGATTTGGTGTGCGCTGTGCAGAGAGGTACCTGCATAACTCATTGCTGACAGAAGCTCAGGTCCTGGTCTGGGGCAGCCCCTTCAAAGAAACCTTCCACACTTTTGTTTCTGAGGTAATTAATTGCACTCTGTGTGTCCCCACTAGGAGAGGAAGACCAAGGGTTTCTGGGTCCTCGGGACCTGTTCTCATGCCCCCTTCTCATTGTTAACCTTTCATTTCAGTAATGGGTGTAACATTGCCTGTGTTCTGTGTTCTCAAACTAGATCTGGGATGAGACACCCCCAACACAGGTGCCAGATCCCTACACCCTGCCATTGTTCAGGTGAAGAGCACGGAAGATCTGGAAACTCACCTTGCTCAAATTTCTTCTTATACAGAGTCCCCTTAGCAGTACCACAGGTCACCGGAAGCTCAGGACTGCTAAAGTCCACATTGTGTTGTCTGGGATTTCTCGGACCTGCAGGGACACATTTCACTTCATTCTAGAGCTGTGCACAGCCTTCCCTCCACCCCTTTAGTATCTCGTTTCTGCAACTAAAATGCATTGGGCTTTGCCATGGATTTGTTACACTTGAAGGTCTTTTATGAATGATTAGTTGCTTATAGATAACAACACACTCTGCTCCCATCCTCTGAACTCCTTGGATAGCGAGTGACTGGAGCCTTGTGGGGCAGAATCCTGGCTCTCAAATTTGCTGGCCACATCAGCCACTGTTCAGTAATTTACCTAGGAATATTTTGAAGAGATAGTTCTATTATATAATGGCTTTGGAATTTTATAGATGGGCTAAAATAACTCAAATTTTGTTGTGCTCTTTGAGGCATCTATGGTAGACGGGGATGGAAGGGGGCACCCAAAGAGGTGGTGTCATCGTGCACCTTTCATCTGGTTTGCTGTCTCTCTCCTTTCCTGAGTCAGAATTATATGCTATTCGCGTTGTGTTAATGGGACCTCTTAATATAGTTACCGACTCTCAATAAGCAGAAAGTGTTGTTTTACACATTGAAACCGGTGACCATATTCCTGATGAATCATTTTGTTGTTTATATGATTACAGGAAATAGTCAAGAATAGAAATAATCCCACATATATTACACATATCAGATCCCGTACAGGTCTACCACACCCTGTAGCACAAGGTAATGATGAGACTGATCAGTTATTAATAGCAAATGTGCTGGAGGCCTCAAAATTTCATGAAAAGGGGCTGGAGAGATGGCTCAGGGGTTAAGAGCACTGACTGTTCTGCCAGAGGTTCTGAGTTCAATTCCCAACAACCACATGGTGGCTCACAACCATCTGTAATGTGATCTGGTGCCCTCTTCTGGCCTGCACTGTATAAATGATAAATAAATAAATCTTTAAAAAAAATTTCATGAAAAACACCAAGTCAATATAGTAAGGGCTTGAAAAGGATTTTTCCATCACTTGGCAACAAGCCAAGGAAATTATAAGAAAATGTCCTGCTTGTTCCTTGTATAATCAAACTCCACTACCTGCAAGAAGTTACTATAAGGGTACTCAAAGAAATGAGATTTGGCAAATGGGTGTGTTTCATTTTGCAGATTTTGAAAAATTAAAATATGTACACTATAGCATGGATATATATTAAGGATTTCAATGGGTTACTTTGAATTCTGAAAAGGCTAATTCTGTAATTGCCTGGCCATTAGAAGTCATGACCATCATGGGAATACCTGTACAAATTAAAACTGACAATGCTCCAGCATATGTCTCTAGTAAAATAAAACAGTTTTTGCATATTACAATATAAAGCATATTACAGGTATACCACACAATCCAACAGGACAAACAGTTACAGGAAGATCTAATCTCACTTTAAAAGAAATGTTAAATAAGCAGAAAGAGGTAATAAAGAACCTCAGAGATAGATTGCATTATGCCTTATTTACTTTAAAATTTTAAAATGCTAATGAGAAGGGAATGACAGCTGCAGAAAGACATCAGATAATAAAAATACTACTAAGTTAAATCAGCCTGTGTACTTTAGAAATGTGTTGACCTCAGAATGGAAACCAGGATATGCATTACGTTGGGGAAGGGGTTTGCTTTTGTTTAACAGGAGAAACAAAGCCATTGATATCATTAAAAGTAATAAAGATTTGCTTCGAACACGAGAGACCTCTTGATTAGGAGAAGTGATTGTTCATCAACTGATGTGGAGACTCAACATGTGGGAAGAAAAAAGTCACCAAATTAGAGTTGGGACCGGGAATAGAATAAAACCATTCATCTGAAGGCCATCGAGGACCTTTGGACAGATAGACATCTAAAGAAGGGAGAACTGTCCTTAAAAAGTTACCAAGAGAAAAGAAACAATCTGGATGATGGTGTAATTACTTCTACAGGGTAACATCGCTTTACCCCTGAAAATATTTGTTGTCCTGACTCAATCAAAAACTAAACCTGGCTTTGGAGTTGGAGTGTGACTCACTCCTTCTCTAAACCCAAGCATGGTGTTAAAAGAAAATTCAGAGTCTCTGTCTCATATCAGAAGGATCACCTAGTGTGGGACAGAAGAAAACCAAAATCTAGGGACTATTGTTGTCACAAATCTCTTCCTCCTCAAATGTATTTTGAGTCTTTAAAACTTTTCTTTAGCTATAATACTATCTTAAAATGTAAACTTTCCATTTTCACATTAATAATGTTTACATTTTCCTAACAGCAATCTCTGAGAAGAAAGTCTCCAAAAAGATGATTGGGACTCACAACAACAATTCTACCTGGATTGTATTAATGCAATTGAGCAAAAAAAAAAAAAAATTACCCAAAGATAAGGTTTTGGACTACAAACTGCTTAATACAATTCCAAGGTGTCGAGCTGAGATGGCCCGCCCATCCCCTTGTACCACTTCAGCCAGAACTTCAGATAAGCTTTACCCCTTACTCAGAGCCTGGCTACAAATGTTACAGCTTGTCCTCCTAAGACTTAACTATTGTTTTAGTTCTTACAGGGTTCCATAGAGATACCGTTGCCACCCAGACAGCGGGAAGTAATTCTAAGAACATGATGCCCGCTTTCCCAAAAGGTGGGGTAGATGGTTTTTGGTTTTTCTCAGAGTTATGAATAATTGTGATCTGTAGGAGATAATAAGTTGTTATAGGGCTGGAGCCAGAACAATAGAGATTACCTCAGGGATCTTGTTTGGAATAGAAAAATGGAGGCCTAGATATAATAGGATTAAAAAGTGGACTATCAGTTTTAAATAATTCTTGCATATTGATACAAATTCAAAGTTATTTTTCTTTTAGACAGTTATTCCTGTCTCAGGTATTTTTGCATATTGATACAAATGTAAAATTATTTTTGTTATATTGTGTATATATATTCCTACTCCTGTTTAAAATACTTTTGCATATTGATACAAGTATAAAATTATTTTTGTTATACTGTGCATATGTTTCTACATCTGTTTAGGATATTTAAGGGTTTTTGTCATATTGTGTTATACGTTTGTACCTCTGGTCAAGACATTTTTGTATATTGTCACAATTTCAAGGTTATTGTCCTTACAGAGTCTCTGTCTCATATTTCATACTGTATATCTATTTCTATTATTATATAAGCTATTACTTCTACAGTTTGCATATTTATATAATGTGAAGCTTTAGTCCTTAACCTATATAGGTTAATAAGAATTATAAGTTAAGCCAGGTGCACAACTTTAATCCCAGCACTCATGAGGCAGAGGCAGGCAGATCTCTGTGAGTTTGAGGCCAGCCTGGTCTACAGAGTGAGTTCCAGGACAAGCTACACAGAGAAACCCTGTTTCAAAAAACAAGCAAACAAAAAAATTACAGGTTAATTGATAGTCACCCATGTTTGTCATACTTATAGTCATGTTAGTTAGGTTTTTTATGTGTGCAGATATATGTTCCAAATAGATAAATGATCTTCAAACACTTCAAGGACTTACAGGATATGTAAATGTTTTTAATAACTTAGAATTCTTTTGATGTGAGACACAACTGCTCCTGGCAGCACTGATCTACTCCCGAGAGGATGATGGGCACTAAAGACACTTTACATGGAGTTTGTTTTCCTTTTAGCAAAACTGGCCTACTGGGCAAGAAACTGCCCTTGCATAGACTGCTGAAAATAACTATGCTGTCCAATCAGGACAAGCAAGACACAAAGAAAAGTGACTGCTGAACTTTGCCAAGACAGGATAGGACAGTCCTCCAAATTTTCCTGCTTCTGAAAGGGGTCTGTCTGATATTCTAGGCCTATAAGACAAAGCTGGATGCCCCTATGTTACAGAGAACCTTGGGTGACTGTCTAGGCAGCCAGTTATTTCTGTCATTTCTTGCATTTTTTTGCAAGTTTCATGCCTGTACTTCCTGCTTACTCAGGTAATGTTTTCCTTTTTGCGTATTTGATGGGATTGAAGACTAGATAGTTACAGTTATAATCCTCCTGAATCTTAGCTAAGGACATATTAGGTACAAAAGTTAGATTCTTCAGGAAAGGACAACTATTGGATTAATCTCTATAAAATTGCATATTACCTATGATCTAGACATCTACATATATTTCTTATTTGATAGTTGTTCTTATTATATGTAGTTTCATTTTTGTTAAGATTATTACCTTTCTTTTTTATTATGTCGTGATTAGAACCTTCCTTCCTGATTAGACAAAAAGGGAGAAATGTTGTGGGAATTCTGTGCACTAGCCAATTGTATGGAGCAGCTTGGCTCAATGGGTGTAGTCTTCCCTGCAGAAATATGACCCAATAAGAACCCCCGGGGGGGTGGGAGGATCACTCACTCTCTTGAATGGTGGGAGAATCTTGTTAAAGCAATAGAGAACTGAGGCTTGTTGACCTTCTCCATCGCCCATTGGAAAGAAGTGTCAGCAGAGCTGATAGCTGTGCCCACAGTTGGAACCAGTGAGACATGCCGCATGGCCTGGACCCTTATTTCTGACCTGTAATTACTGTGCATGGATTCTATCTATCAATAAATGTAACATATTTTCCTAAGCTTTCTCAATTTAACCTAACATGAGGGCTGATAACTAAACCTGAATTCTCTGCAAAAGCAGCAAGTACTTTTAACTGCTGAGCCATCTCTCCTGCCCTTAGGTCAATTTTATCTGCTTAATATGTAAATAGCATAATTTATTCTCTGTGGATTTTCTAAGATAATGATATTCAGTATTATCAATGGACAGAGGCATCCTATCCTTGTATTCTCCGTAAACTACAAAGCCAAGAAAGAAACTAAATGCAGCTTCCTAAAATCTTGATCTAGGAAAGGAATTACCAAGGGACACTGTAGACTCTTAAATCTTGAAACAACCCAGATAGCATGAGATAATCTAACCTATCCACCTCTCTCTCTCTCTCTCTCTCTCTCTCTCTCTCTCTCTCTCTCTTTCTCTCTCCTGCTTGTTTTGAGAGGGAGTCATGTGTATCCAAGTATGACCCTGAGCTCCTGAACCTTCTGGCTCCATCCCCAGACTGCTGTGATTACAGGCTCATGACATCACACTCAGAAACCTTCCTATCTCACAATTTATTCAAGGAAAGACTCAGAACCTAGGATGCCAGTCTAATACTCCATTAGACCTTGGAGAAGACAGAGACATATGTCGTCTGTGATTGGGTTTCTTTCAACTGGCAAAAAGGATGTTGATGTCTGTTCTATTTGTACTTTAAGGGTAGTGTAAAGAAAGAAGTGCACATTATTTGTAAAGTCTTTTGAATAATAACTCCATGAACCATGAAGACCTTGGTTAGAAACAGCACTTTGGGTTTCGGGATGTTCTATCTCAAGCCTCTATTTCTGCCTATATAAGGTAGCTGGATGAGTTGTCTTTGGACTCTAGGCTAAGTTTCTGCTAAGAGAACATTATGAGCCCCTAATAAAGGAGTGGAAATCTTTCTGCTCTCTATAGAAATCACTGGATGAGTCTAACACTTAATAAACATGATAATTATTTTTTAAAAAACAAACCCATTGAGGCTGGATGGACGGCTCAGTAATTATGAAGTGCTTGTTGTACAACCATAAGGACCTGATTCCAGATCCCCAGAACCCAAGATGTGAAGCCAGACACTGCAGAATGGGTCTGTAATGCTAGGGTTCATACTGCAGGACAGGAGGCTGAGACAGAATCCCTGGAATCCTATGATCCAGCTAGTCTGGCATAGGCATCAATGAACAAGAGGCAAGGTCTCAAACAAAGTGGAAGGTAAGGACCAACACCTGGGATTGTCCTCTGACCTCCATGAATGTGCACACCAGTACTTGTACACATGAACACATGGCTGGGTGTACATGTGCAAACACACACACACACACACACACACACACACACCTGCCTGTTTATATCATGTTAACAATGGATGACTATATCTACTAATAGAATCCATTGAATGGCAAGCTTAAATCCCAAGACTGTATGCAACAATTTCCCTCCACCACACAGAACAGACAGAGAACAAAACCCATCATAAAACAGTGGCTTGAGAGTCAGATGTCCACAGCCTGTCTTGCTCTCTGGGCTTCCTTACTTGGCTTGCAGATGCCAGAGGTGGATTCTTCTGAGCAGCTGATTCCATCGTCAGTATCCTCACCGCTGAAATCTACAGAAAAGAAAGAAAGTCCTTAAACGTCTTAGTGTAGTCAGACTTTCTTTAAACCACCAGCTCCTAAACAATGACACAAAGACTTCTTATTAATTATGAAATCTTGGCCTTATCTTAGGTTTGTCCCCAACTAGCTCTGAAAACTTAACCCATTTATGTTAATCTACATTCTGCCCCTTGGCTCCTAACCTCTCCTCAGTAAGTACATTCAACTTCCTCTGCATCTGGCTGGTGAACCCCCACCTCTCAGATTCTCCCCAGAGTTCCTAGGTGTGCCTGGAAGTCCCACCTATCCTCTTCTGCCTAGCTATTGGCCATTCAGCTCTTTATTAAACCAATAGGTGGCTTAATAAAGGTGCCTTAGGTAGGTGAAGTAAAACAGTGACACATTTTCACACAGTGTGATCAATATCCCACAGCATCTTATGGGAGATAGCAGGCACACACGGCAGGGAACTCCTGAGTGTGAACACTAGGAGGAGTTAACTCAAGGCTGAACTTCCTTCCTTGCAAGGCTGTGAACCAACGACCTAAGCAACTGCCATGGAGCTGTTCCCTCAGCCACTGACATGCATCCTGTCTGCATCCTCATTCTGGTTCTCCCTTCCTCACACCCTCACCTGTCTCTTTCTTTCCCTCCTGTTTTCCTCCTCGGCTTTCTTCTTGTCTCTGCCCATCACTCCTCTTTTTCATCTGTACCTAGTGATGGACCACTTGGTACTTGGAATGTTTCCCCATCCATCTCTTACTGTACATAACTTTGGTTCCCTAATTTTTTTCACTTCTTCACTCCTACTGACCCCCCCCACCACCACCCTGCCATATTCAGCTGCCTTCTCTCTCTTTAGGAAAACAAACATGGCCTCAACATTTACCAATCTCCACTTCTCATTTCTGCCTTCAATTTTCCAAGTTCCTTCTGCTAAGCTGGAGGTTGGCTTTGGTTGGGCCTCTTTTGTTTCCTGACTCCCCCTGGCTATCTGGCATCCCAGATGGACCCTGATGACATGCCTAAGCCCCTTGCCTGGAAACCTGGAACAATGCTTTCAGTCATCCTTACCTATGACCTCAGATCCCTCATTATAGCTGGTACTTGCTTCTTCGCTCAGTTCACTGTCTGAGACAAATGATGAATTTGTCTCTGACAAATGATTTTCTTGCATTATATCCACCAGCTGCACAGAACAGGGATAAATTGGGGTTCCCTGGATGAGTAGCTCTGCTCCTGGGTCAAATTACAAAGAATGAATTATATGCAGGGACTGGGGAGACAGTTCAGACTGTAAAGTGTTTGCTGTGCAAGCATGAGGACCTAAGTTCAATTCCTTAGATCCACGTCAAAAAGATGCATAAGGTGGAATCCATTTGCAGTCCCTACACTCAGGAGATAGAGACAGGTGGATCCCAGGGAATCATTGACCAGATACCCTGTCTAGACAAGTCACTGATGTACAGACCAGAAAAAAAGTGAAAGATAACTGAAAACACAAGACAACCAGAGGTTGACCTGTGGCCTCTGCACACATTTACATCCAGAGCAGTACACATGTGTACACACACACACACACACACACACACACACACAGAATTCTCATTTAACTCTCTAAAAGATCATTTTGAATGCCATGGTTGACCCCCTCCCTGCAATTTCACTCCCACCATGTTCTTCTCTCCCTTCTACCCGCTGAATCCTTGGAGAGATTGTTGGTTTTGATATTTCAAAGATCAGATGTAACCAGGCAAGGCAGTACACACCTGTAAACCCAGCACTTGGGAGGCTGAGATAGAAGGAAAGCTATGTTCAAGGGCAGCCTGGGCTACATAGCATGACCCTGTTTCCAAAAAATAAATGAAGAAAAATTTAAAATTTAACTGTAGTATAACATTCATATATAAAAGTGGGGTTTAAATGATTGCAAAGAGAAACTATCACTTGCATCACAAAAAGCAGATGACCCACACTCTAGAGGCCTCTGGGTGACAAATTCTACTGTTGTCAAGGACATTCTCAAAGTCAACCAGAATCTCCAGTTTCAGGACTATATTAATGTTTCTAATTATGTAATCAATATAAAAGAACTTCTAACTATGTTATCTTTTCTCCATTTCTAAAGACAGCAAATACTCCCAGATTCATATACATATATATGTGTGTATATGTAACTAACATGTACATATTAATATGTTTGATAGACTCTTCTGTGTTATTATGTTTGTTGTTATAGAAATATGCTAAGCCAGGCAGGTGGTACATGCCTTTAATCCCAGTGCTTGGCTATCTGAGTCAAGGTCAGCCTGGCCTACAGAGCAAGTTCCAGGACAACCAAAGATACACAGAGAAACCCTGTCTCAAAAAACCAACCCCCCCAAAACAAATAACAAAAGAAGAGAAAAGAGTTTGATTACAAAAACTAATAAAGTATTCTCTAAATATAAAAAGAAAAGAAATATGCTGATTTGCTCTGTTTCAATTTAGTTTTTAAGGAAATATGCTGATTTGCTCTGTTTCAATTTAGTTTTTAAGAGAAACACATCTAGAAGCATTCTTTCTTTCTTTCTTTTTGTTTTTCCGAGAAAGGGTTTATCTGTATTGTTTTGGATGCTGTCCTGGAACTAGCTCTGTAGAAGAGGCTGGCCTTGAACTCACTCAGATCTGCCTGTCTCTGCCTCCCAGTGCTGGGATTAAAGGTGTGTGCCTCCAACGTCGCCCTGGTGAAGCATTCTTTCTTCTGTGTGCTTTGAATCATTAGTTTTGAGACAGGTGTGTGTAGCCCAGGCTTGCCTCACTATGTAGCTGAGGATGACCTACAACTCCTGATCTTTTATCGATCTTCCTCCTCCTATGTGCTGGGACTGAGGCATGTGTATTACAACCTGCCTTATCTGTGTCTTTTGATTAACACCTTTCTCATCTTCCCTGACAAAGAACGTAATTGTTGAGCTCTGGGATATGTATGTTTTTAAGCTTAAGAGATTATATCCAGCTGCTTCCCCAAATCACACTCTTTTCAGAACCAGCAGGAGCTGAAGAGACAGAGCATAGCAAATGCAAGAACCTAAGGCGAGAAGGTGTGGTGGGATGTGATATCAGGATAAAGGCAAGTGATGGGGACAGGAGCATGGCTGCCAACCTTCATTGTCCACAATGACAGAGCAGTCAAGTGCCCAGAGTTGCAGAAGGCACTGGGGCTCTAAAAGCCAGACAAACTGGTTTGCTCTTATTTTTACTTTATGTAGGTGAGTGTTTTCCCTGTGTGTAGTTTGTGTATGCAGCATCTGAGGAAGTCAACAAAGGGTGTCAGATGCCTGAACTGGAGTTAGAGATGGCTGTGGGTGTTGGAACCGATCCTGGGTCTGGAAGAGCAGTCAGTGCTCTTAACTGCCTGCGGACTTAACTTCGGAGTTGTCACTTCAGTCCTCTGTTTACCTTATTAATGTCCCTTAAAGCAGAAGCAACAGCAATGCCTAGAGCTGCCCAAAGGAACAAAACTGCCATCATATTTTATTAAAAATAAACCATCTCGGACCCTAGCATGGAATGCAGGAGTCTGACATGCTTACCTGCAGCTTTATGGCCCAGCTTTGTCAAAGTGAAGGGCTTTGTGGACCCACTGGTACTTGGACCACACTGTCACTGTGCTGGACAGCCCAGATCTACCTGGGGAGGGAAGAACTGTGCAGTCAGTATGTTGGACAGTTGCTAGAACACAAAATCTGCCCAGCCAGGCAGAAGACCTCACCAAGCAAGCAGGGCATTCAGTAAACAGTCTGAAAGGTTCTACCTTAGTCCCGGGCAAGAGCCACGCAGGAGCCAAGGCTGTGCTACACCTTCCCTGAAAAACGTTAAGACGAGGCTCAACTAGATCAGCCTGACTCAAAAAAATCTCACGCCAGCCACTGTCCATATGCATACAGGGTACATCTTTTCATTTGGAGGGTGTGCTGGCTAGTTTTATGTCAACTTGAGACAAGCTAAAGTTATCTGAGAGGAAGGAACCTCAATAAGAAAATGCCTCCACAAGATCGGGCTGTAGGGAAACCTGTGGAGCGTTTTTATAATCAGTGATTGATGTGGGCAGACCCAGCCGGTTGTGGGCAATGCCATCCCTGGGCTGGTGG